TGATATTAGATTCTTGGATTTGTTCAATCTGAACATAATTGAAGATATGGATAACTGCATATATGTTTAAGTGTATAGGATTGATAACCATATTTCTAAGTTTTTGTTGGATAGTTGAACAGAACTGGTTACAATCTCACTGTTTAAATCCCCACTTTATATGCTCCACTTCAGGATCTTGAATAACTATTTGTAAGAAGACAATCTGTAATCATCAACATTTCTTACTGTTTATTTTTTTCTTTGAAAGTACATATTATTTTTACCCGTTTTCTGTTTTGTTTAGTCTTTCTTTAAACAAAAATTTTTTAAAAAGACACTACAGTACCCAACTGATCCCGTAGTATCATATTGTGAAATCCAGCAATACTATTATTCTTTGTTCAGAATTATTTTAGCCTGTTTTAGTTTGTTTAATCTCAACATAAATGAAGATATGGATAACTGCATGTATGTTTAAGTGTATAGGATTGACAACCATATTATTAAGTTTTTGTTGGATAGTTGAACAAAAGTGTTTGCAATCTCGCTGTTTGAATTCCCATTTTATATATTCCACTTTTGTATCTTGAGCAACTATTTGTAAAAGGACAGTATGTAAACATTAACTAGTGATTTCTTACTGTTTATTTTTTCTCTGAACATATGTATTATTTCTACCTATTTTCTGTTTTGTTTAGTCTTTCTTTAAATAAATTTTTAAAAAAACAAAAAAGTTCTGTATTAGTAACATCGTATTTTGTATACAGTAGGAAAGTTTTAAGATACGCATGTTGGTTATTATACTCCCAGCCCTTAGGAGCGCTAAGGCATAGCATTGTTAGCAGTTCTCAAATCCCTGGATGCAGTAGATGCAAAGGGCCAATGCTTGTGACCCACTTTATCACTTTGGACCAGGAGTTTTAATTTTTTTATGTTGTATTTAATTGAGTGGCTGTTTTGGACATTTTGTGTTTCAGGGAAAAGGTGTTTGTGATAAAAATGAAGATGAAAGGCTTGGAAGATAATTATTGCTTGGGGTCAGAACTCTATAGAGTTATGGGGAAAAAAAAAACAAACTCGATTCTCTTAGTTTTACTGGCCTTTCTCTCCAGGGTACAGAAGGATGAGAAAAGATTTGACCATTCAAGATTATTTACTGTTGAATTTCATTGTTGCCAGATCCATAACACATTGTTACTTGGGCCATGATGGAAATATAATCTACAGTGTCTATGGCTTTACAGTGTATTTTATTGCAATGGTTTCTAATTCTTTATTGTCAAAGTAAGGCAGCTCTGTTGTTAGTAGGCAGAGAACTAAATTCAGATTCCTTTCCTCCCAGTACCCAATCCAAAACTTGAAATGTAACAGGTGACTGGTAAAACTAGTTGACTTAATCTAGCTCAAAAAAAGGCAGACATTTGTAAAATGTGTACTGTATTAGGATGCAACATATATATTATAGTACTACTACCATTTAAGTAAAGAGTCGAATTTACAAAGTGTGAGGAATAGAACTTCATTCAGATACAACTCCCACTTCATATAATTCTGTGGTTTTTTTTGTTGCGGGGGAGTTGATACCAGGAATTGAACTTAGGACCTTGCGCTTGCCAGGCATGCACTGTGCCACTGAGCTATCTTCTGGCCCAATTTTGCATTGAATGACTTTAGTAAATCTCATACCACTACTGTACATGTACTGTTGCTAAATATATTTTACTGGGCCTGGAATATAGTTTAGTGGCACAGCACCTATCTGGCAAATGCAGGGTCATGAGTTTGATTCCTAGTACCAAAAATAAAAACAGTTTACCTAAAATTAAATATATTGCACAATACAATACTTAATATTGTTGTTAATAATTGTGAGAATGCTTTTCAGTCTGGTATTGTCCATTTTTTATCAACAGGAAGTTGTAAATATTGTATTGATTCTTCTATACATTCTTTATAGTACAGAAAGTACTGCCAGTGGGAGTTGAGTGGGCTTTATTTTGGTTTGGTTTATTTTGTTGTCTGTAAGCTAGTTTTTCTCTATCTGCAGCTCACTTACATTATAATATAATAAACATGTTAAGTGTGATTACCAGTAATTTGGAAGCAAGAGTCAACTTTTAAATCTCCTGTTTCTCTCCTGGTTCAGAGCCAAGGATATGAAGCCAGCACAAAGCAAAAGAGTCTGTGAATGATGATGTTGATCCATCTTATTGGAATGGTTTGATTTGCAGGTGGCACAAAACAGATGATCAGTCTCTGCATTACTGCTTTACAGTCTAATTTTAATTTTTCGGAAGATTCTCGTTAGCTATAGACTGATACATTTCAGGTCTTATGGGCAGCTGCTGTGTTGTAGCACATTAATTAAAGGGCAATTACTGCTGTTTAGAAGGCACCAGGATTCCTGCCACCCATTTGATTCTGGGCTGTCTCATCTCTTGTGCCAGGTCTGCAAATGTGGTCCAAATCAGGAGTTAAGGATTGCTCTATTAAATGGATTAGTAGCTTTTCCTTATTACCAGATATTATGGTTATTAGGTATGCTCTATATAAGTAGAGCTATTGCTGCCAAGATTGATTGTTCACAATTTAAAACTACATAACGGTGAACTGCATGGATCTGATGAGACAAACCTGGGTTTAAGACTAGATTCCCACTGTCAGCTCTGTGATTTTGAGCTACGTAGTTGGCCTTTCTGATCCAGTTTCTTATCTCTTTAAGACTACTGATACTGTGCATCATGGTGCCGATAACCATGTACTTAGTGCATAGTAAGTACTCAGAAAATAGTAGCTGTTTGAGACTTACTAGATATGTTGTACTAAGTTATCTAAAAATACAGGAATTGTGAGATATCCATTACATTATACACTACTAAAAATTACATAGTGTGTTAATTTATACGTTAAAATGGGAGAAATGTAGAGAATAGGTAGGGCAAGTAAGTTACACTTTTAAAATATGTATAACATGAAGTTGAGCTGATGATGTAAGTGCAGCACAGGGAAAGCGAGTCGCATTGCCAGCCCTGCTCCCAGTGTCCATCTCCAGAGCTATTTCACTTGCCCACAACACTGCTCCTGTTGCCACTCCTGCCCCTCCCTGGTGGCTGTTCTCCTTAACGTCATCTCCATGGATTTGACTGCTTCAGACTCCTCCTGAGGGCCACTTAGATTTTTATAGGCATTGCAAGTGTGTGATTGGCAAGCTGCAGTGACTGTGTCCTGTTCAGCCACACTGAGAGCAGCAGGGTGACTCTGAGAGGGGCCTTTCCAGCTATGAGGTGCTGAGATGGAAGACAGCAGGGATTTGTATGTTTTATGGTTTCAGTTTTGAATTTCTAAGTCTTGCTTGTTCTTTTGAATATATTTTATAAAGCAGATAAAGGTAGTTTTATTTTTTCCATCTACTTGGCTTTAATACTATTTACTGAGCAACTCGTCTTCTCCCTACTGATCTTTAAAAAAGATTCACTTAAGAATTTAAACTGCTCTTCACAAGACATATTGTCAGAACAGTTCTCCCATGAGCTGCCTGTGACACTTTGTAAATTCAGAGATAATGGAAAAGCTAAAAAGTAAACACAAAAATTTCATTGTCAATAATCTAGACTGCTGGTCTATGTAAAATAAAGTCTCGTTTTTTTCTCTCCATAGGAGAAACAAAAGAATAAACAATTTCATTCAGCCTTCTAAACTTTTTTTTTTGGGTCTTTTTGAGATACTATGGTCTCATGATGCAGTTCCAGGCAGGCCTTGAACCTACTTTGTAGCCCAAGCTGGCCTTAAACTTGCAATGATCCTTGTGCCTCAGCCTTCCAAGTGCTGGGATTGCCGGCATGCGCTACCACATCCAGCTCCGAAGCCTTTTAAACTCTATGCAAAGTCTGTCTGACCCCATAGCACAGTCCTGTCTCCTCAAGCAGTGCCACTCAAGAGTAATAATGGCCGAAGAAAATTAAATCAGAGTATGACTTGACTCTTTGGGGTATGGTTTGAGAAGCCAGCAGAAGCTTGTGCTTGGCAGCTGGAGAAGGCAGAGGCAGGCCAGCAGGTGAGGGGCTCCCTGACCTCTGCTCCTTGCTTTTGTTGTGGGTACTCTGTGACATTGTTTTGAGCTGTCCTTGTAGGCTTCAGATACCCTTGAGGAGTGGCCCAGATGAGTTTGGCTTCTGCCTTGAGAGCCAGTAACAAAGACCAGATCACATTTGATGAATCTATTGTTTTAAAACATGGGGTGTGTTCACACTTTTAACATGCTTCAGTTCATAAACATATGTATAAAAGGTGAAGGGGCAAATAAATACCCTGATGGTATAGCTTTTTTTATTTTCTGCTTGAAAGATGTATTCATTTCCATTCCTCTCCTTTTAATCTTTCTATTTCCTTGACACAACTGCTTCTGAACTCCAATTCTTGTCTCTCCCTGCTGTGACAGTTCACTAGCACTTCACGATACCTAAGATTCTTTCAACTTTTATTTTCCGCCAACTGTCAGTTGGAAAATGAGGTTGCTTTGTTTGGGAAGGAAAGGGTAGAATCCTTTCTGAATGTCTCCTTTTCCTTTGAAGTATGAGCACTTGAGAGACAATTGAACTGCTTTTAGATTTTCCTTACCACCCAGCCTTTTCTTCTGATAAATCCTGCCATGAACACACAGTTCTGTTGATGACATCGATTTGTTGCTATGGAAATAGTAGTAATGTCACAGATTCAGCCCAGTGACTTTAGTGCAGGTTCTTACAGGAGAAATGGGCAAGGCTTTAGGGGAAAACCTCATTAAACCTGAAAGCTATCAATTATAAGAAGGTGAAACATAAATGGAACCAACCTTTTCTATCATGAAAACAAAAAGTGAACCCTCGAAAAATTCATTGCATGCAATCCAATGCCCCAGTGTAAATTCTGATCTGCAAGAAATAAAAAATTTACATTTTCCCAGTCTTTCTTCCATGTAAGTTCAACTCTCTTCGCTCTAATTATTTGCATTAAGACAGCCTTTCCCTTTTAATCCCCAGGACAGGGGCAGCCACAGGCAGTTCCTTCTCCAGTCACAGCATCCAGTCCGCTGACCGGCAGGCCCCAGCAACAGAACGGGAGCTCAGGAGTGGGTAAGGTGGCCGCACAGGACCTGTGTGGGTTCTGTGTGTCAGGATTCAAATAATAATGTTTTCAATTTCATCTGGAACTAAAGGGAGCTTTCAGAATGCTGTACATGACAAAAGTTGTCTTACAAAGAATAATTCCAATCCTTGTTGTAGGCCACATGATTGAAAAAATGATAGTCTTTTGTTATGGTGTACAGTGCTTTATTTTTCTGAGACAGGCTCTCCCTTGGACAGGCTGGCCATGAACTCATTATGTAGTCCAGGCTGACCTTAAATTCCAGCAATCCTCCTGCCACAATCTCCCAAGTACTGGGATTACAGGCATCTACCACTACACCTGATGATAGTCTTTTAAAGATACTGAATAACATCTCCTTTGAAAACCACAGCGATGATAGTTTTCTCAGTTAATAGCTTACCTAGTCCTGTAGTGTTTTACACTGTCTTCCTTTCTCTGAGTTTGCATATCTTTTAAATTCTCGCCTTTTAACTATCTAAGATCCACTTGCTAAAGGTTGTCTGTCTCCAGTTTTCCCATTTTGGATTCTCATGGGCATGTGTCATTTGCTTTAGGACAGAATCATTTATATTGGTCCTGGGGTCTGCTTCTCAGTCTCCTGGAGGAGAAATAGTTTCTTCTTTCAGCTTTCTCTGTAGCAGGTCCTGAGAGACCCTGATAGAATCATTTTATTTACTCTTGGACCTTTGTTTTAGGAGTGTCTTGATCTGGGAAGTTACCAGCAAAAGTTAAAATTTGTAAAGTGTGGTTTGATGTATTTTTAGAGGTCTGTATTTTCTGTCACAATATCTCATATGCCTCCTTTTCTTCTCTTCCTCAACTGTTTCTATTTTTTAATATAGAGTTCTAAGAAAAGCAGGTTAACACGTCACTAATGTTTCTGTGAAACTTTGAAGACTTACGACTTTTTCCCATTGGTCTTTGTTGTTTTATCTAGTAATATCTGTGAATCTGCACAGCATGGTAGCACATGCCTGTAAACCCAGTACTTCAGAGGATGAGACAGGAAGATCACCTTCAGTTTGAAACCAGCTTGGGCTATATAGTGAGTGCAAGACCAATCTGAACTACATAGTGATACCCTGTTTTAAAACACACACACACACACACACACACACACACACACACACAAATATTGAATCTGTCATCTATACGTCTTCCTTTATGTTTGGATCTTTGTAAACACAGCTCTCAAATTATATACTGTTGAAGGGCATAGTAGAATAGATTATCAGAAATGCTGAGTAATCTAAAAGCATCTTTCTTAGAAGCTGAAATATGAGTAGTACATTATTTATTCTTCCCTCTCCCATCACAGATTATCTTTCTATTTTTCTATCTGTGCTTCACAGTGTATTGAAATTTATTGTTAATGATTAATGATTCCAAATCTGGGTTGTGAAAGAAAAAGGCTAGATATGTAACAAGGATGGTTGCCTGGCACCAAAAAAACCCCCAAAACCAGGATGAAGGCTGAGCACAGGTGTGTGCCTGCCAGCTCAGAGCTCCAGCAACTGCACCAGGAGGATCAGGTGTTCGAGGCCAGCCTGAGCCACACAGTGAAAACATGTACTCACAAACATGTTGGAAGAATGTGAGTGTGTGTGTTTAATAAAGTTGTATATTCTCTTCTCACTGCTACACTACTTGGAATAATGTGTACATGCAATAAAAACTCAATAAATAACGATAGGTTTATATTTTTAGCCAAGTTTTATTCAGAAGTAATGCTTTTGTATAGGGTGTACAAAATCATAAAACTAAATTAGGTTTTCTGAACTGGAGTTTGAAGCCTTATAGACACTGTATGGATAAAGGGATTCTTCTTCTAACAGGCTTCAGTATCTTGTCCTTTCCTGTGGAGGGCAGGTACTTACCTTGGGTAAAGGAGACAGAGAGTCATGGTGGCTCCCGTGTCTCTGTGTCTTGCATAAAAACTGATTCCCACCCTGCGCTCCCAACTAAATACCATTTTACAGACTTTCCGCCCCGTGATGGTGTTTTTTTTAGATGATACTGGGGATGGTTGTTCCTTCACTGCCAGTGTCTGTCCTACAGTTCCATTATATCCTGGCCTTTTTCTTTTTACTTTGATGCTGAGAATCAAAACCATGGACTTGTGTATGATAAGCTGGTAACTAATGAGACTAATGGCACATCATCAGTTTCCCTGTCAGGAAAGTTGGTTTTCTTTCTCTTACTCATTGTCTTGCCCAACAATGGGAGAGAAGTTTTAGAGGGTAGCCCTCAGAAAAGGGGGTGTGTAAATTCGTGACTGTTGTATGGACCTCAGGGCTTAAGTGAGCCAATAGTCATGAGCTCCGTTGTGCCAGCCTTCTAGGCTGCCTTTCTGGCCTCCTGCTTTAGTCTGTATCTAACTGCGTATTTCTTAGGGACTTAAAAGGAAAAACTCTGCTTCTGATTTTGTGTGATTTCACCAGTGGCACATCAGTGATAAGAATTATTGTAAAACTTATCAAAGTTAAGTAGAATAACGATTGTCTTTTTGTGTGTATGTGTTTGTAAAGGTTCCTCTGTACCCAAGGCTTACGGTGCCTCAAAGACATTTGGAAAACCCGGAGGGTCGGGCCTATTGCATCCTTCCGGGGGAACGCAGTCCAAAGTGGTACCCATTGTCAGCCTCACGCCGTACCAGTCCAAGTGAGTTGCTGCCCAGGGCAAGAGCAGAGTGAACTTAGAAGTGGTATAAGAAGTTACTGTGGGCTGTGTGTGGCCGATACATGGACTGTGTAGTCGGCACCATGTAACTTGTCTGTTTTTTTTCTTTTTTCTTTTCTCCTGAGTTGGAGGAAGATATAAACTGCAGCAGTCTTTAACTCTTGTCAAAAAGAATGACAAAAATAGCAGCCTGCCATTGTGGAGTTTCACTATTTTCACAGAATTTGAAATTAAAGATATTTACTGCTTAAAGATCCAGTGACTAGGCTTGTGAATAAAAATAAGTATTTGTGTTAACACAGAAGGCATTTCTTCTTATAAATGGGTGACTTTTGGTCTAAAAATTGTTAGTGTGATTTATTTTGGTGAAGATAATCTGTACTATTTATATTAACTACATTAATATACACCAAACATATATTTCTTCTATGACTTTTTTCTCATTAAAAATTAATTTAAGTGTTGAGAATTAGAGTTCTTTTCGCAGAATTCTTTCAGATGGGTTTTAATTTATTCCTCAATACTTGGTATCGAGGAGACTTTATCCCCTCTGAAATTACAAGGTGTGTACCCACCATGTCTGTTCAGGGTGGGCTCCAGACCTGGGTCTCTGACCTTATACCTCCTTGTGCAGTGTCCTGTGTCTAAGGTTACACTGCTTCAGTGTGTTTTTCTTTAGTAGCCCAGGAACACCACGTTTGGTAGCCTTGTGTTTACACTCAGTGTGCACTGGAGACAAGAATTGAACACCTGTGTTAACCAGCTTTCCCTTGCCGTGGCAGCATACATGGGGATGACAATTGACAAGAGCAGACAGTTTATTTTGGCTCACATTTCCAAGGCTTCAGTCCATGTTTAGTGGCTCTTGGTGGAAGGTTTGCTCACCTCATGGCAGCTTAGAAGCAGAGTGAGAGCCAGAGGGGAAGGGGCTGGGGACAAGATACAGCCCCTAAGGTCACATCCCTGCAGCTCACTCCCTCCAATTCAGTCCTGCCTCCTTAGTTTCCATCACTTTTTTTAGTACCAGGGATCGAACTCATAACCTTGCACTTGTCAGTCAGGTGCCATACCGCTGAGCCATGTCCCTGGCACTCCATCGCCTCTTAATGCCATCAAATTAGGAATTCATCAGTGGGTTAATTCACTGATGAAATCAGAGCCCTCATAAGCTGGTCACCATTGAGAAGCCCCACTTCTGAACATATGTACGTCTTACAGGGTATTGTTTGTTGTATGGGAGATTGAACTTAGGACCATAGCACTAAAGTAAATCCCCAGCTCTTTTTAAAGACAGGATCTTGCTAAGTTTTCCAGGTTAACTTAAATTGGCAGTCCTGCCTCAGCTTCCAGGGTGCTGGGGTTACAGACATGCACCACCATGCTGAACTCTGAGGAATATTTTAGATCCAAACAACACCATCAATTCTATCAGTTCCCATAACTGCAAATAGTGACAAAATATAATTGCTGGTATTACTATATTTTTTAGCTTAAAACCTTTCATTAAAGAGATACTGTTGCCTTGGTGATGGATTTTGGAGAAGGGAGAGAGTTTTTAAATTTACTTATTTGACAGGAGAATGAGTTAGTGTTAAGCCACCTTGTGTGTTTTTTACTATTTGCTTAGCCTGTACATTGTCAAGCTTGTATGTCATCTTGGGGTTTTAATTAGCTGGGTTAAAATTCATCTAATGTTGATAAATGGAATATGAGTAAGATTGGAAAGGCCATAGAAAGATGATTGTTTATTTGATCTTTAGTCCAAATAAGATACCAGACACTAATGTAACCTGTGTGTTTTTTAGGTGGACTATTCGTGCTCGTGTTACCAACAAAAGTCAGATCCGTACGTGGAGCAATTCTCGAGGAGAAGGGAAGCTTTTCTCTCTAGAACTAGTAGATGAAAGTGTGAGTACATAACTTGTGGGACGTTGGAGTGGGGGACACTGTACACAGGGCTCACCCAGCAGGCGTGTGGGCAGGCCCGAGAGAAGCATGGTAGCTGTTCTCGTTGCTTTCCCTTTGCTGTACCTCTTTGATGCCTACCAGGCAGAGGGCTAAAAGTCATCCATCAAATCCTTGGTCTTAAAGAATTTGCAGCAGAAATTAGAAACTGTAAGTAGTTTCCAGAGCAAGAGAAGCTGGAGACACTGTGTCTGACTTACAGGAGGCACTGTGGCCAGGATGTGATGTCTGCTGCTGAGCAGAGTAGAGCTTTGGGCCCCATCAGAAGATGGGTGACAGCCACCTTTGCCCAGTGAATGGCTTCTGGGAAATGAAATCTGACCTCACAGACTCTATACGCTTTATTTACACAAAGCAAAACCCTGTGGTGGACAAAAAAATCTCCAAGCTGTGGAATTTTGAAGACTTTATTTGTTCGTCAGTTTTGTTTGTAATTCCTACATGTACTTTCAGCATTCTTTTCAAATGGCTGTGTGTTTCTGATTTGTTCATGTCCCTGAGAAAGTAGGGAAAAATTTTTTCCTGGAAGATGGTATAACATCCCACATTTGACTTGTAGCAGAGTCAGTGTCAGAATGAAGTTCTCTGCAAACTTTGGTCAATCTAAAGTTGGCTAAGATTTCAGCGATTTCAGATTCCCATCCATCTGTAACAGTTTAACTGACAGGAAAATAAACACGATAATCGAGTCACAAGCAGCTCGAAACATGACTTGTGATGCCATTTTTGGCAACAGCTCCTGAATATGGAGTAATCTGTTGTTCAGGTTGCAAGCATGAGGAAAACTGGTGAGTCACCCTGGTTCTGCATGCTTCCCTGTGGGCTGCAGTCGTGTCGTTCGGTACTGAAAATGTTTTTATTTTTATTGTCAGAATATTAAACGTCATTTTGTTTCAAATTTCTAAGTTGAGGTTTATAAAGCTCAGATCCAGGATCAGCTAGTTGAACTTCATGGTTCATCCAAGCCAACAGCTTGACTATATGCCAACACCTTGACTATATGACCATGAGATGTGGCTTCCTGTGGAGGCTGTGGTCCTCTCATGGGTCACCTTTGTGCTTATCCTGCTGCTTCAGTGATTCCATCTTGATGTCAAAGTGGCCTGCTTTTTACTGGCCAGGTTGAGTTTGTTTTGTGTTTTTGTTTGAGGAGAGGCTTGTTTGCTTTTACTTTGTTTTTTTGTTTGTAGAATTTAGCTTCTTTTTAAATAATTTTTTTATTTTATGAAAAAAATTTCTTTTTTCTTTTTTTGTACTGGGGATCAAACTCATGACCTTGTACTTGCCAGGCAGGCACTTGTGCTGCTGAGCTAATTCCCTTGCCCTGAAAAGCTTTCATAACAGAATAATAAGAGTATACCAATAGTTGATACTCTTATCATTATCTTCAGAGTAGTTACTTAAAACAGGACATGGACAGGAAAATTTGTCTTAAAGAAGAAATGGGTAATAGCACAAAACTTCCTTTTCAGCGAGCTAAGAGAAATTAGTAGTATAAATAAAACAAATTAGCATATATATTAAGATATTTTTGAAACAATAGAATGGGTAATTTTTTTTCTTAAATCTATTTTATCTTAAAAACACAAAATTTCAAAACACAATAATTGGGGCTAACAATGGTATATAGTATATTTTATGTATATGTATATACATACCTATGCATATATTGTTTCTTATTTTATAATATAATGTGTGCACATGCATGTCTGATTAATGTCACTTACGAGTAAAGTCTCAGGTTGCATCCATTTACCCAGAATAGGTAATTTGGGAAGGGTTTTTTTTTTTTAATGTTTTTGTTTTGGTTGGGTTTGGGTTTTTTTGAGACAGGGTTTCACTATATAATTCAGCCTGACCTTGAACTTATTATGAAGCCCAGGCTAGTCTGTAACTTACAGCAATCCTCCTACCTCAGCTTTAGGAGTACAGGGTTTGTAGATGTATACTGCCATGGCCAGACTATTTGGGAAATTATTTGAACTTTTCACTACTCAAATTGACTTTGAACATCACAAATATAGCTGCTTTCACTTGCTTTTACAGGGTGAAATCAGAGCTGCTGCTTTCAATGAACAAGTAGACAAGTTCTTCCCCCTCATTGAAGTGAACAAGGTACAGTAATGCCAATCTAGAACTGACAAGTTGAGTTGGGTAGCAGAATAAGGATTTGTAGACTTCTGTCCATTGGAGGGTTTGTTTGATTTGTTGTGTTGTCTTGTATTGTGTGGCTTGGCTTCCTTTGCAGGTGTACTATTTCTCAAAAGGCAGCCTGAAGATTGCTAACAAACAGTTCTCAGCTGTTAAAAATGACTATGAGATGACCTTCAATAGTGAGACTTCTGTGGTTCCCTGTGAAGATGATCATCATTTACCTACAGTTCAGTTTGACTTCACAGGAATTGATGATCTAGAGAACAAGTCTAAAGACTCACTTGTAGGTAAGTCCAGACTTGAGGACAAAGAATGGTGACGATTTGCAGTGCATGGCGGGTGTGACACTTGGGTGCTTGTCATTCAGCCTTTGGTCCATATTATACAAGGAGACTTGATCTCTTCTGCTAAGACCTTGTACCTGTATTTTAGACATAATTGGAATCTGCAAGAGCTATGAGGATGCCACTAAAATCACAGTAAAGTCTAACAACAGAGAAGTTGCTAAAAGAAATATCTACTTGATGGACACATCAGGGAAAGTGGTGACTGCTACTCTGTGGGGAGAAGATGTAAGTACTTGCACTGAACAAAAACAGCTCCACGGGTAGGTTATTTGTCCTGTGGGGCTTTGGCTGTGTAGGCAGAAAAGCATTGTGCTGTCTAGTGATTTTTTTTTTTTTCTTTTAGTGATCATTTGAAGTTCTTTCTTCTACTTCTGTGAGGTGTGCTGTGATTTCAGCTTTCTGTAGTGAATTTTTCTTTCCTCTAAGGAAGTACCAATAGATTAGTTTTGATGTATTTCTCAGGGTTCTTATATATGAGGTCTGTCTATAAAGATTCTACATACATTGATTATATTCACTATACTACTGACTGTTTCCTTTGTTTTCTCTCAAAATATTCTGTGTATTCTTCCTGCCAGTGACACTTGTGTGTTTGGTGTTTGTTTTTCAGGCTGACAAATTTGATGGTTCTAGACAGCCTGTGATTGCCGTAAAAGGAGCCAGAGTTTCTGATTTTGGTGGACGGAGCCTCTCTGTGCTGTCTTCAAGCACTATCATCATGAATCCTGACATCCCTGAGGCCTATAAGCTTCGCGGATGGTAGGTTTTATGGAGCTAAACCAAGGGGTTATTTGAGCCCAGGCTTTGAGTATATGAGCCCTCCAGCAAGCAGACGGCTTTGTGACTGAATGGGATAGTTTCTCTATTTCTTGGAGGCACATGCCTTCTAAGAGAATGGCTTTAAAGCCCTTAAACTGACGGGCCCTAATCCCATGACAAACCTGGTGAGTTGGAAGGAGGCAATTAGAATGTAAGGGCTGCGTGCTGACCTCAACCCTGACAAAGCAGAAATGGTCAAGCTTTAGCAGTGTCTGCTGAAGGATTTTATACTTAGGGCATCTTTTGCTCCCAGGCTTGAGCAGTAGGATCTGTGGCAGGAAGGAGAGAATGTGCTGTCTTAACTCCTTGGAGTCTGGTTCTGGGCACATCTTCTGGTGCATATTCACTGAACACTGCTAAAGCATGCTGGGAACAATGGGCTTTGGTTGGCATTGTATTGTTATTCCCAAAGCACTCAAGGGATGAAGGAGAGCTTATTAAAATCTCACTATATCTAGCTTTTTTTTTTTTAATCTTGTTGGCTTTTTTTTTTTTTTTTTTTAAACTGGTACCAGGGATTGAATTCACAAGCACGCGCTTGCAAGGCAGGCACTTATGCTGCTGAGCTAAATCCCCAGCCCTTATATCTAGCTTTTTAAAACATTAAAACTCAGGAACACTTCAGCCTGAAACATGGTAGGCAAAAATTGATGTAGTCAGGGGAAATACTTTAGCCCAAGCCTAATAATTTGTATAGCTATAATTGCAGGATTAGGGAGTATGTGTCAGTTTCTAACTATGTCTTAGGATTTAAGTGACTCAACAATTAATCTGTATTTCATACTCCTCCACGAGTTTTTGAGTCTAATGCAAACCAGTAGCACTAGTATTTCATAAAACATCTGCTGGATATTCACATGACTTAAGCCATCCTGATGAGTATGACCCACCTGTATCTATTTAACTATCCTGATAGTTTGCACTGCATTATCAGGCAAGGCCTGTTAAATAGTCTGACCACAGATAACCATGATTTTGGTTTGCTCGTCTTGCTTGATAAACTTACAAGCTCTGGAGCATGACCCCAGGTTAATTGCGTGTCAGCAGTGAGGTGTTTGTATTTCAGTTGTCAATATTGGTGACCCCAGGCTACATAAAAACACATGACAAACTAACTAACTTGACATTGATCAAGGAGAAGTTCATGCAGTGCACACTTCATCTGGGTTTAGGGTTTAGATCTTGCTTCTACTAAAAAGAGGAACTTTTATTGTAAGATAATCTGCCTCTCTCCTTGCTCTGTTGACTCTTCATGAGTTGTCTTTGATGGCAAATGTTTCCTTGGAGTTTTTGAAACTTGTTTTTGTTGTTGTTTTCACCATTTTGTTTTTGCATACATATGTGGTTAAAAATCAATGAATTGGGGCTGGGGATTTAGCTCAGCAGCATAAGTGCCTGCCTTGCAAGCAGGCAGTCATGAGTTCGATCCCTAGTACCGATAAAAACAAAAAAAGACCAAAAAAAAAAAACAAAAAAAAAAAAAACAATGAATTTCTAGGTCCAATTCAGGTGACTGAAGAGGTTTATGTTATCCAGACCAGTGATGGCAGACCTTTTAGAACTTTCAAATGATAACAAGTAGCTCATTGTGGCACGTGTGCCATAGGTTCACCACCCCTGGTCTAGACCCAGAGTATGCTGCAAACAGAGTCTGAAGTAAAAGAGGAAATAACATTTTTCTAAAGATAGACTTAGAAATTCTAATCCAGGCTGGGGATTTAGCTCAGTGGTAAGCATAAGGTCATGAGTTCGCTTCCCAGTACCAAAAAAAAAAAAATTCTAATCCAGTATGTTAAGATGTTCCCTATCTCTGGCAGCAGAGGTGACTCATTCCTGACTGCTAGCACTGTTCACAGGTATGGCCAAGAAAGCAGGGTACAGACCACCAACAATTAAACCAATGTGTCATGATACTGGCTTTACATTTGGAATTTCCAGTGCTCAGGGGTAGACTTGTAAAACTTCTGTATGAGGCATGTGCTGACAAAAGTAGGGTCCCTGCCATTGGTAAGCCAGCAGCTGTCCCAGCCCGTGTCACACACAAGGTACTCCAGAAAAGACCGTTTGCTGTTAGCCCGTAGGAAGCAGCATTAAGTCCACAATATACATTGATCCATGTTCAGGTAGACTCCCATCTGTTTCTGAAAATTGGTTAATTTTTCTGGTTATGATACCAGTATCGATTGCATCTTCCTCGATAGTATCTTGGCAGTGTGTGATTTTCCATCTGAAGTTGCATGCTCGCCTCCCAGCAACCAGCGCCTCCCACATTCTTCCTCCACCACACCAGGGCTGGCTGCAGCCTTTATGCCTCTCGCCAGGGCGTGGCCTTCTCTGCCTGACACACAGCTCAGCCCCAGCTGCCCTGAAACTGTAAACTTGTGTAGCAGGTGGTGAATCAGATTGATGGACCTCGTTGTGCCTCTGTGACAGAATTTACCTGTTGGCCTGACAGAAGAAGGCAGCTGTCTGCAGCTTAGGGCAGAATCCATTCAGCTGGAGAGCTCTTTTTAGAGGGCCTGTTCTGTATGAGGTTAGCATTTTACTTACCCACCTTTTGGATCACGTTTGGTGTTTTTAATCTCAGGCTTATTGCTCTCTGCTACAAGTATTGTCCTCTGCCACCTTCTCTCTTCATGTCAACTGATAGGTAGTCAAGAAGTATCATTTTTAATAATAATTCAATGCACATTGGTTTAACTTTAATGTTGGCAGAAGTAGTATCTTACTAAATGGATAAACCTGAGTATTGGCACCCATCTATAATCTCAGCACTTTGGGAGGCTGAGGCAGAAGGATTAAAAGTTCAAGCCCAGCCCGGGTACCTTGATCATTTAGTGGTGATATCCTATCTCAAAATTTTAAAAAGTTCAGTGTGAAGGCCCCAGCTTCAAATTCCTGAATCAATCAGTCAATCAATAAGTGGTAAAATCGCTGAGAAAACAGTGTCTTCTGACAGATGGTTTTAGGTTATATAATCTTGTAGAGTAGCCCATTGGGCTTAAAAGATTTTCTACCATGGGAACATCTTTGCCTGATCTACTACAATATGTTACCTGTCTCTTTCGATTCCAGTGATGATAAAATGCAGCTGTTACTGAGGTGGCATTAGTTGCCCAGAAAGCTCTACGAGGGCTCCATAGTGTTGCTTTTTGTTGTTGACTTTCCCAGTTACCTTGAGGTCCTAACCTCTTACAACATTCATGGCCAGGTTAGGACCAAGGTCTGTGGTATTTTGGCACTGTTGACCACTGGAGGGCATCAAAGCAAATGAGATGAAAGAGGTGACACTTGCTCTTTAGTAGATTCACTCATGGTACAATGAAGAAACAGTACCAGCTTCACCCGCCTGCCATGACTGATGTGACAATAAGGGACGGGAGCTTGAATGTAGTCTGTAGAAACAAGTAGCATATGTGAGAAGTATGTCACGTGCCTGATGTTTGTTTTTCAGGTTTGATACAGAAGGACAAACCTTAGATGGTGTTTCCATTTCTGATCTAAAGGGCGGGGCCCTAGGAACTAGCAACACCAACTGGAAAACTCTATACGAGGTGAAATCCGAGAACCTGGGCCAAGGCGACAAGGTAGTGTATGTCCCTTGCTGCTTTACAAAAGTGTGGAAAGCCTACAGGAGAGGATGAGCTTGAAATCTGGTTTCTGATACCAGCTAGTGGGGGTTGATTCAGAGCTGTGGTTCTTACCTGAGGCAGCTGAGGGTCACTGGCAGAGCCAAGAAGCCCAGCTTCCTAATGGGAAGAGTGGGGCCTGCTGGTAGGTTGAGGCAGAAAAATGTGAAGAACTGTTTCTTCAAAGAACTTGAAGAAGGAGTAATGACCAATCTTTTGTGATAGTATGAACAGATTTCAGGTCCATATTTCTGTTGGGCTTGTTCCTGCAAATTGAAGCACTTGTTGTATATTGCAAAGACGTTTTTCGAGTGGAGCATATTAGTCAGACTTGGCATCAGGCATCACATGATTGCCAAGTGCTTTCATCCTGTAGGCCAGACTTTGCCACTGTGCCCTGCAAGGATTGATGCTGGGGTCTGACCTCAGCTGGAGCTTCCCTTCTAATGTTTGTTGAATGACCCTCGCTCCATCTTGGTTTAACCTGTGCTCTGTCAGCAGTTCAGTATTTAAATTGTTTATTTTTCTTCTGCACTCCCCCAAATAACAATCCCTGCTCCCTTGTCATCATATCCAGGTCATATATAGTATATCGTCATATACAGTAGATTTGTTCCTGTCTGATTTTATTGTACACCCCTGTTCATCACTGTCATTGGCAGAGACTTAACAATGCTATTACATAATGTCTTGAGAGTTAGACTTTGAGCAGATCTGTGTTGTTCTGTCATAGAAACAGCCTCTATTTCAGTTTTCTTGTACCAAATTTAGAAGGTAGACTGTGTAGTAAGAAATGAAGTGTTCAGCCCAGTGTGGGGGCACATGCCTATAATCCCAGCACTCTGGGAAGTTGAGGGAAAAGGATTATAAGCAGGGACTGGCACAGTCACTAAATTGCCCTGGCTGGGCGCATACTTGCAGTCCTCCTGCCTCAGCCACAGCGTGCTAGGATTGTAGGCATATGCCACCAACTTGGTCCCTTCCTTCTCTCAACTTCCTCTGTTTTCCAGCTCATTTTGTATTTTGAACTAGAGTCTTGCTAAATTGCCCATGTGGGCCTCTACATTTGCAATTTCTTGGCCTCAAATGTAACTGTGATCAGCTGGGGATTTAGCTCTGCAGTATAAACACCTGCTGGGCAAGCACGAGGTCGTGAGTTTAATCCCTGGTACCCAAAAAAACCGAGTAGCTGGGATTATAGGAATGTACCTTGGTCCCCAGCTTTTCCATAGTTTCTTGCTTTCTTTTTTTTTAATCTTTTTTCTTTTTGAGGACTAAACGCAGGACTTCCTGCATGCTAGGCAAGCTAAGCACTCTGCTGCTGAACTATACCCTCTGCCCTTCTCTAGAGCTAATTTTTTTAATTTTATTGTTACTTTTCAGGTTCTTGACAAGGTCTTGCTATATAGTTCAGGCAGGACTTGAACTCTTGGTAATCCTGCTGCCTCAGTCTCCCAAGTGCTAGGATGACAGGTGTGAAGCACCACCCCCAGTTTAAAATGTTTTTTATGGTGCTGGGGATTGCATACAGAACCTCATGCATGCTAGCCAATCGCTCTTTCATTGGGATATGTCCCCAGCCCTCTGGCCTTCCAAGCTAGTTACTCTGCTAAGTTCTAAACAGCCATTGTTTTACCTTTTTTAGTCTGAGACATCAGGAAGCCCCAGCAGTTGGTGACCCAGCTCTGTATTTGGGTTGCACCCAGAGGGAACTGCTCCCTGGCAGTGCTAAACACAAAACAAAAATAATTCATCTGAGGACCTGTCTGTGAATATTAAAAGTAAAAACAGACATCAACCACACACACACAAAAAAACCCCAAAATATAGCTCAGCCCTTGCTACATACACTTCTCTAATTTCTCTACTTGGAAGGCACGGATCTTATTTAGAGGTGTTTTTGCATTCTGCTAACTTTGATGACTCAGACCTATGTTGGCAAACAAGGCCATAGATCACGTCCACCTTGCTGCCCACCTGTTGTAAATAAAGTTTTATTGGAGCACTGCCATATACCTCCATCTGGACACTGTCTGTGGGCACTCTTGCCAGCAAGACTGAGCATTTGCAGCAGAGACTGTGTAACCAAATGGCCCATCAGGCCTAAAATATTTACTGTGTAACTATTTACAGGAAAAGCTTGCTAGCTCCTCACCTAGACAAACAGAGGAGAACTTACACCCTAAAAATCACTGTCCTGAGTTTTATTTAATGTGGGAGGGATGGTTGATCAGAGCTATGCTAGATTTTTGTGGTCTCCATTATTTTGCATTTCCTAAACCTGTGGCCTTTGAAGTTCAGAGGACCGAGAGGAACAAGTTTTTTTCTCTTTCATATATTCTTCAAGCAAAGAGAAAAACTATTTGTTTTAATTAATTAAATCTAACTTAAAAATAACTTACTGAAAAGGAATTATATATTTTAGAGCTTGGTTTATTGCCTTGGCGGCTTTTGTACACAGCACATGTGATCTCTAAAATTATGGAAGGAATGGTTGCCTGTAATCACTTGGTGAGCTTGAGAATTAGGATGCCTGTGTTGTACTTACCACATACAGTAAGGGCAGAATGGTTGCCTGTAATCACTTGGTGAGCTTGAGAATTAGGATGCCTGTGTTGTACTTACCACATACAGTAAGGGCAGGCTTTGAGTTGCCTGCATCCTGTCCCAAAAGTAGGCACGGCACCGTGTCTCAAGTCATTGTTTTCTTCTGAAGGCGGACTATTTCAGCTCTGTGGCAACAGTGGTGTATCTTCGCAAAGAGAACTGTATGTACCAGGCCTGCCCAACTCAGGAGTGCAATAAAAAAGTGATTGACCAGCAAAATGGATTATACCGCTGTGAAAAATGCGACCGTGAATTTCCTAATTTCAAATACCGCATGATCTTGTCGGTAAGAAGAATGGGTGCGTGAGAGTTGATTGAATCCCTGCCAGGAGCCACATGCTGTGGTTACAACAGCAGAACCAAGATGGTTCATGGTAGAAAGTTTGCATGATAGGAAGGTGCTGAAGAGCTTATTACTGTCCTATAAATAAGCAAATAAGGACCTTTCAGGCAACTGAATAGCAGTCTGTTTTCTGCTACTAAAAGCTTTTTTAAATGCCAGAAAGTTGAATTGAAATGCCTCAAATGATTTTAGTCTTCTGTGGATATCGTACAATTACAGTATTGGCACACTCGCTTGCTAACTGTTATGAAGATAAATTAATTTGAAATGACATTTCTGGAGAGCAGTAATTGTACTTATACAGCCATTGCCTATATTTAGTTATTTTTCTTATGGATGATCTGTTCCTCCAGTCTTAGTAGAACTGACTTCAGAGGAACGTGACTGTGCTGATGTGGAATTGCTGCTTTTTTTGCATTGTAAAAATTGCTTTTCCAGAAACCTTTAAAATGCAAGTTGTAAAATAACTAAACGATAAAGATGTTAAAAAAATAGATTCTCACATTTTTCTAGGTGATTTGGCAGCTATGTATCAGAAGCCTTAAAATTTGTTTGTATTTCCTAACATAGCAAACACACGGAAGGAATTTATTCTAAAGAAATAATCAGGGGCTGGGGATTTAGCTCAGCGGCATAAGCACCTGCCTTGCAAGCAGGCAGTCGTGAGTTCGATTCCTGGTACTGATAAAAAGGAAAAAAAGACAAAAAAAAAGAAATAATCAGAGATATTACAGCCACCTAAAGTTGGCCTGTTATTTATTTTAGAAAGTTGGATACAATTTGAATGTCCTTAATACTCTATTGGTAAATTCTACTGGGGTGCTACGGAAACCCTAAAAACAGTCATTTATTATTTGGCTTTTAATAGTTAACATGTTTGCAATCCTTTGCTAATAAGAACTATTAAATAATTTTAAGTAAGTAATCAAGATTTGTTAGTTGAAAATAGCAAATTTTAAATGATGTGTCTTACGTGGTCTTGAAATATGCAGACAGACAGAAAACACACTACACACTGGGAAGACGAACACCCCAAGACTGTTGGAAGTGGTTACTTCCAGCTGATTTTTATTTTCCTTATACCCTCCTGCACTATGCAGTTTTGTGTGTGTGTGTGTGCCATGAATACTCATAATAAGAAATTTTAAAGAAATCTTTTTTAGACTGTAGAAGAGAGAAAGAATTCTACCTATTCTTTCTACATTCTAATAGCCCCTTAAAGTTATGACTCAGCAGGAAAGTTCTGCTCTTCTCATTTTTGTAAACTAAGCTTTTCAGTGAACAAGATGAAGGAAATTGCTTTAGATAGTTAATTCCATCAACCTTTCTGTTAAACTGCTAAGTCGTGGGTTCTCCTGCACACTTGTTTCATTTGACATTTTCCTGTGTCTGCATCATTGCCGTTCTCGCCTACAGAGCGTGAGGCTCCATGCCTCTTACGAGAATTGCACAGAGTAAATAAAGCAGATGTGAGCCCCAGCATGTGATGCCACTGGCAGCTTCTCATGATCAATCTTATAAAGTCCCCATGCATAAGAAAAATCAATATGTAAAATCATCACAATGATATGTTTTTAAACTTTACTATTATTTCTATGAAGCCTTACATCCGCAGCTAGATTCTTTAGCACCCACTTGTTTCTTTGACACTCCCCAAATTAATTTTATACCGTACATCCAGTTGGAGATACTTGACTACCCCTCTCTGTTGCTATGTAGATTTGGTTGCCGAAGGGCTTTAGCCTGGGTGCTTCAATGGTGACTTAGGTCCATCTCACACAGCGTCTCCTATCAGCTGAAGATATAGGTGCAATTTTAATTGCAGAGGTCCTGTCCTTCCAGAGGAGGTTTGTACTGACCTTTAGTCCAAAGGCCAGTATATCTGGAGGGGAACTGGGTCTCACGTACATAGATTCTGTACCTACAGTTTACTTGGGCACTGTCTTTAATTGAGATCTGAAATCACATATCCAGGTGTATCCAGACTACACTTGAAACTTGTTTCTGTCATATCTGCCATAGTTTTTGCAAACACTGTCGTACAGATGTCCCTCAATTTACAATGAGGTTACATCCCAGTAAACACATTGTAAGTTGCCACTGATATTAAGCCGAAAACTCATTTAATAAACTACAGAACATCATAGCTTAGCGCTTTCTACCTTAGATTGCTCAGAACACTTGCATTAGTTTGTGTTTTGAGCAAAATAATCTTAACACAAAACATACGTTGTAGTAGCATTGAGCATATTATAGTTTATAGAGTATACTATTGAAAGTGAAAACAGGGTGGGTGAATAGATGTGCTTTTGCATATAGAGTGAAAAATTGTTGATTCGGACCATCATGAATTGAAAACTGTATATTTATGTAATGGTATTGTTTTTCCCCTTGGAAATTTTGATGTGTGGGAAAAGTTAACCTCCCAGTCCCCTTAGTCTGTCTTCCTTTTGTTATTTCTTTGCTGAGTAACAGAAAGTTGTGTTTTTTTAGGCAAATATCGCAGATTTTCAAGAGAATCAGTGGGTGACTTGTTTCCAGGAATCTGCTGAAGCTATCCTTGGACAAAACACTGCTTATCTTGGGGAACTGAAAGATAAGGTTAGCCATGTAACTTATTATAATTGTACTGGTTCTCATGCTGTAACACAGAGCCTTTTTTTTTTGCTGTTTAATGTTTTTGATGTGCTTCTTTGGGATGTTGTATCTTGTTTCTCAGTCTGATGATTATTTGAGAGCTCACCTGAATTTTTTTATTTTTATTTATTTTTTTGTTCTTTGTCCATTTTAGACACACTCAACAATGAGGTAACGAAACAAGGTGCATAAAAAGCCTTAGTACGTGTTATAGGTATCAACCAAACCACTTGTTTCTCCTAGTCCTGTTACCTCATCAGAGTTAGGGGCCCTGTGGTCCCTCAAAACTAGAAGGTGTCTTCTGAAATAACCCAAGGTCTGTGTGTGCCTTTTTTAACATAATAAACACTTTTCCCCAAAGTTGAGTCATATCCTGGTTTAAATGCACATATAAATTGATTGTATCTATCTGCAGACCTCAAATGCAGTTCTTACGGAGTGCCTTTCTGGTATAACTTTACCTATTTCTTTCTTTTTTTTTTTTTTTTACCTATTTCAATTTTGTAAACTTGTATTTTACTTGGATTATTTATTTATTTTTTCTTACTAGGTTTATTTAACACAGAAAATAGGTTACTAATTATGTTGAACTTAGAAAGTTAGTTCCTCAAGTAAAACTTATAAGGAAGACTAATGAAAACACATATATATCTTTATCTCCACTCTCCATTTCCTCCAAATTGGTCCAAATACTTGTAAATGGCCCAGGAAAGAAGAAATTGCGTGTGTTCCAGGGTGTTTTTCAGGTTCTTTCTGTCCTTAGCTCTATTTGGTTCTGCTCCACCTATCTTTAAAACTGTCCGTGAAATCTCTGAAAACAGTCCAAAGAAGTTCTCTCACAGAAATAAATGGAATTCACTTTGAAGTGTGCTAGTATCTTTTATCTGTTTTGCCTGGTCCTCTATTTTCATATCAGATTTTAAGGCTCAAGACAGCCTTTCAGGACTTTTTATGAGCTTATGATTATTTGACTGTTTTTACTGCTGGTGAAGGAGAATGTGTGGAAACTCTCCTCACAGAAACCATGGCGTTTGTGGAGTGTGTGTCCAGGCTTCCCTAATCTGGAATAATAATGATAACTAACTGCTGGTATGATTTTCTAAATTATTTATGTATTGAAAGTCCAGTAAGGGGCTGGGGATTTAGCTCAGCGGCATAAGTGCCTGCCGTGCAACCAAACAGTCGTGAGTTCAATCCCTGGTTGAATGCTGGGCCTCAGATCTGTTGTATTACTATTGAAGTCTTCGAAATGTATTTACTGGGGGCTGGGGATTTAGCTCAGCGGCATAAGCGCCTGCCTTGCAAGCAGGCAGTTGTGAGTTCGATCCCTGGTACCGATAAAAAGGAAAAAGACAAAAAAAAAAAAAAGAAAGTCCAGTAAATAAACTTCGTTTTTTTAAACAGTACTGGGAATTGAACCTAGGGCTTTCACGCTGAGCTCTATCACCAGCCCCACCACCTTTTTCTTTCTGCCTGCCTGCCTGTTTGTGTCTGTCTGTCTTATTTTTTTTTTTAAGACAGGGTCTCACTCTGTGATCCAGGCTGGCTGGCCTCAAACTCATAGAGACCTTCCTGCCTCAACCTCCCGAGTGCTGGGATTACAGAAGTGCACCACCACACCCAGTGTACATGTTGAAACCATTGTACTAAATTGCTCAAACTGGATTTGAATCTGTGACATTATGTTCCTAAGCAGTGTCAGTGTTCTGTCTCAAGTACTTTGGAACGTAGACATGCTGCAAAACCAGCTAAGCCTTTTTTACTTAATAATCCACATCAAGATTGAAGTAGCCTTCAGGGTGTTAGCAGAGTATTCTCAGAGCATCCTGACCTTTGCCCACTTCACCTGTTCTCTTCACTCGCTCACCGCACCAGCGACTATACACATAGAGGCTGAAATAATGAAATACATGACAGCTTGTAGTTGTTTTGAGTATTTTCTCACCCAGTTCTTAATTCATCAGAATGCTGGGCCTCAGATCTGTTGTATTACTACTGAGGTCTTCGAAATGTATTTACTGGGGGCTGGGGATTTAGCTCAGCGGCATAAGCGCCTGCCTTGCAAGCAGGCAGTTGTGAGTTCGATCCCTGGTACCGATAAAAAGGAAAAAGACAAAAAGAAAGAAATGTATTTACTAAGAGTGATTTTTATATTTTTGTAGTAAACATAAAATTTATAAATGTAGGGGGCTGGGGGTTTAGCTCAGCGGCATAAGCACCTGCCATGCAAGCAGGCGGTCATGAGTTCGATCCCTGGTACTGATAAAAATGAAAAAGACAAAAAAAAATCCAATTAAAAAAATTTATAAATGTATCCTTTTTCTTTCTGTCCCTATTTTGATTTGGGGATTAAATCTAGGATCCTTGCACTGAACTATACCTCGACTCTTTTGTATTTTTTATTTTCAGATAGGGTGACACTAAGTTGCCCAGGCTGGATTTGAACTTGTGATCCTCCTACCCCAACATCCCAAAATACTGTGTGATATCACAGCCAGTTTTCATAATGATTTTGAGCGTACAATTAAGTGGCATTAATTACACTCACATTGTTGTACGGTTATTGCCAAGATCTGTCTCCCCAAACTGGAACTCTGTATTAAGTAAACAGTTCCCCAGGCCTTCCTTTCCCCAGGCCTTGGCAACCACCATTCTGCTTCTGTGAATTTGGTTGCTGTTGGCTCTCATCATCTGCCAACTCAGACAGCTGTGAATTTAAAATATTGGGGGGAGGACTGTGTCTGTGCTAAACATGTACCGATTTTGTTTCTATTTCTTTTTTTTTTTAAATTTTATTTAAGGAGAAAAAGAAAAAAAAAACAGAAAAAGGGTACAAGTTATACAGAATTTCAGAAAAAATAAACAGGAAATCACTAGTTAATAGATTACATATTGTCATTTTAGAAATAATTGTTCAAGTTACAAAATTAAAGCATATAAAGTGGACAAACAGTGAGACTGCAAACAGTTCTGTTCAATGATCCGACAAAACTCAGGAATATGGTTATCTATCATATACACTTAAATATACATACAGTTATATCCTTTAGAGAACTTTCTTTTCCTCTCTTTTTTACAATGACAATTATACATTTTGGGTTTTATTACTCCCACAGTTCTTATTACTTTTTTTGAAGAGAATAAAACCAAATTTGACATAATAAAATAGTCAAGTCAAAAGAATGGACATAATACATAATGTAAAAACAGAATACAAGGTGATTAACAATTGTTACAATAATGCCTCTTGGTATCTTAAGAAGAATTGCCTATATCATCAGTTATAATAAAATTGAACAAAACAATAAAGAACAAAACCAATAAAACCAAAACATTGGAGACATTACATGACTTCAAAAGAAGAAAATAGTCAAACCAGAATGGGCGTCATAGTGAATCTTACTGTCTTCACAGTTGTTGCCTATACTCTCGAACTTGGTGCTATCAAGCAAAAGAGAATAGAGAAAAATCAATCAAAACAAGGTAGTGAGAGCAATACAGGGTTTCAAATCAAGTTAATAGGAAATCAAAGTGGGTTACTATAATATATCCTGCTATTTTTTATTTTTCCCTTAATTAAAAAAGTAAATAATTTAAAAAAGGGAGATTGAGATAAAAGAGGACATAACAACAAAACAGCACAGGTCAAAACATAACCATTTAAGCAAAATAGTGTTTCACCACAAGATATCCCGACATAAAAGTAGTTACCATAGTGTCTCTTTCCTTGAAATCTTTGAGTATATCTTCATATACTGTAGCATTAACATATAAAAACAATGTAAAACCATTTAAGAGAATGACAATGTTACAGGGTATTTAGAACCAACTTACAAAATGAACAATGGTTTCTGTATAATCTCCTTGTCTATAAAAGTTGTTTATATTATCACATATAATAAAATCCAATAAGATACAGCATGTTAAGACCGATGGAGACAGAAGAACAAAAGCTTGATGGGACTTCAAAATAAGATGATATAAAATCAGCACTAGCTATTATGATGTCTTGTTTTCTCCAAAATAGCTGTTCCTACCATCCAACCTTCTCTGCCTTATTGCTGTTGCTCTTTTTCTGTCATTAGTTGTCAGTTTGTCTTCTTCATTTTGCTTTCTGCTCCATTCATTGTGGCCTCTCTGCCACTGTTTCTGGAATCTTGGTATTTTTCTTTTTTAGAATGTCCTGCAGTATTCTCTGTAGAGTTGAATTGGTGGTTGCAAATTCCCCTAGTTCCTCTTTATCCTGGAAGCACCTTATTTCTCCATCAATTTCTAGGGACAGTTGTGCAGGATATATCAATCTTGGCTGGAGGTTATTATCTTTCAAAGCTTGAATTATTTCCCCCCACGCTCTTCATGATTTGATGGTTTGTGCTGAGAAGTCTGCTGTAATTCTGATGGGTGTTCCCTTGTAAGTGATCTGTTTCTTGTCTCTGACGACTTTAATATTCTATTCTTATATTGGATTTCTGGAATTTTGTTTATTATATGCCTGGGTGTAGTTCTGTTTGGATTGTAGGTGGCTGGGGTCTTATATGCCTCATACATCTGAGTATCTTTACCTTTTGCTAAATTAAGGAAATTCTCCTGGATTATTTATGTGAATAGCCTTTGTAGTTCATTTGTTTGTGTCCCTACTTCTTTCTTTATGTTCTTAATTCTTAAGTTATAGATCCTCTTAACTTCTAGCCTTTGTATTATTGCTATTTGTTTCCTTGTTATTTTTAAGAAGTTTTTCATTTCATGCTCCCACATTACAAATCTGTCCTCCAGTTCAGATAATCTATCCTTAGTTTCTTTCAAGCTGTTATGCTAGCTTTCAATAGAGTTTTTAGTTTCCTGGTAATCTCTTTGAACCTGCTTCACATATTCTATGTTTTCTCTATTTTCTCCATCAAACAATTCTCCCCTTTTTTTCTGTTCTTCCATTCCACCATCTGTTTTTTCCTTGGGCGGTACTTAGCATTTCTCTAACTATTCTACTTATATCTTGCTTTACTTCGTTAAATACTTCACTTTTGAACTCATCTATGAGGCTCCTGAGATACCGCTTTATGTCTGTTGGTGCCGTGTCTGATATTGCATGTTTTCTGTCCTCATTCTCCTTTGCATTTACCTTTCCTGGATCAGTGTTATCAGGATTGGGGGCCGAGGACCCTTTCTTGTTGCCCCCTCTTCTCATATTCTTTGTTCCTTCCGTACAGGCGTATATAGAAGGCCCAGTTTCTTGCTTTGTGGGTTAGTTTGTTTGAATCCACCAGCTAGGTGTTCCTGCCCACTGCAGTGTCCTAGGGAGACACAGACCTGGGCAGCCTCTGCTGGGCCTGCCCCTCCAGGTCAAACTGCTGAAAGCTTCACTGCTAGGGTGCACTGCCAGGCGCTGGGACCTGGCTTGGGCTAGCCTACTGGGTCTTAGTCACCCAGGCCAAGCGCTCCCCACCAATCCTGCTTGAGAGGGGAATATGCAACTAAAGTCACTGCAGTGTCCTGTTCCGACTAGTCTGCCCGTTCCCAGAATGTCCTCTGTTGGAGTCTCCTCGTCTATGAAAGGGTTCCTGTTCCTCTCACTCACCGCAGGTCAATGCAGAGCTCCCCACCAGTCCCGCTCTCAACTCTGTTCGCCAATTCCTGTTCTCAGAGCTTTCACGTCTCTGCCCCTGCTGTGCCGATTCAGACGCAGCAGCGGTGGAAATTCAAATTGTGGATTCCAGAGGCACGGGTTCCAGCCTTGGTGCTGAGATTTTATCTGTTCCGGTCACAGCATCGGGATTGCATTTCCAGTTGGTTTCTCTCAGCTTAGTTTGTTCCTGGGTCAGCAGGGTGTGTTTCCTCTTGCTTAGAACTCCTCACACCACATCATTCCTGGATTCTAAGCTGGCTATCTCAGAGAGCTTCCATACCTGCTGTTATCTATCCACCACGTTCTCCTGGAAGTCCTCTATTTCTTTTTTGTTTTGTTTGTTTGTTAGTTTTTGTTTTCCTTTTATTTTGGTACCAGGGATCAAACTCATGACCTTGAGTTTGCCAGGCAGGTGCTTATGTCACTGAGCTAACTCCCCGGTCCCCGATTTTGTTTCTGGTCGTCATTGCCTAGCAGTACAGGGTAGAGTAACAGTCATCGTCATACCTTTCACACTGTATTAGGTCTGCCAAGTATGTGAGAGATGATGTAATATGTGGGAAGATGCGTGCACTGTGGGCAGGTCCTACGGGACTGAATGTAAGGGACTTGAGCACCCTTGGATGCTGGTGCCCTCAGGGGCTGGACGAGTCCTGGGACTGTGCCCCTGTGGACACTGAGGGAGAGCTTTTGAGCCTTTTTTATATTTGTTTTTATAGAACGAGCAGGCCTTTGAAGAAGTTTTCCAGAATGCCAACTTTCGATCTTTCACATTCAAAATCAGAGTCAAACTGGAGACCTACAATGTGAGTAAGGGGCCCCAGGACCAAAAGCGAGGTGGGAACTCCCATGTTAGTGCTGCAGGTCATCGTCCAGGAGCTACCTGTCAAGGGTCAGCCCCAGTGCCACGTGCCTTGTGCTCATGACTCACCAAAACTTCCCTGCCCTGCAATACAGTTATTAACTCCATTTTTAGATGGCTTAAACTCAGTGTCTTATCTAAACATCTAGGGAGGAACTGCTCTGTGGCCTTGTCAGTTAAAACCTGGGTCTTTTTTGTCTGTATTCTGACAAAAATAATAGTGTGCGGAGTGTGCTCACACCTCCTGTAAATATAGGCTCTAAAAACACCCGTGTGTGAAAGAAAGACCACATGTCACAAAACTACTTTGAAAATTCCTTAAATTAGCCACATCATACGCTGTGGAGCATCACAAAGCACTGCCACGTCCTCCATCCTCGCTTGATCCTTAGAGCACCTTCAACATTAGAATTGTTGTTTCTCCCATTCACTAAGGAACAGTCGTCAGCATTCAGGGAATGGGTTTATATGCTGGCCAGTGCAGGGCTAAGATTCCAATCCCGGCAGTCCAACTTGTAAACTTTCCTCTTCCCTGCGCTTATAACCTTTAGTTATCTATTAATTTCTCAGCATACAAAAGCATCCAAGCCCTTGGCCAGACCATGCAGCTTCTGGATATCACCCTACTTTGCCTCTAAAGGCTCAGTTTCACCCTTAGGGCTGAACATACAAATAGTTTTGCCAGCACCCTGGCCAGCTGCACAGTTCACTCGTTTTGGGGAAAGAGCCCATGCTCAGAGGGCCTCTGGCCGCTGTCCCAGCCCTGGAAGTTCTGAGCTAGGCTCTCACTCCGCATGTTTTCTTTGTGGGAATTACTGAACTCTGAATCCAGCATGTCCGTTTGCTCTGCTGGGCTCCTTGAACCAATGGGAACAAAGAGGGTTATTGCCACTGCTCCATGCCAGGGCTTCAACCACTCACAAACCGCTCTTCTCTTCAAAGGATGAGTCTCGAGTCAAGGCCACAGTGATGGATGTGAAGCCTGTGGACTACAGAGACTACGGCAGAAGGCTGATCATGAACATCAGAAGAAATGCAGGGATGTGAGGAGAGTAGCACTGATTGGGCAGAAGTTTGAAAACAGAGCTGAAATGGAGCCGATTTCTTATAGTCCCACCTCCCCCACCATCACAGAACCTCAGTGTGGACCTCAGTTTTCCCCTCTGCGTGCACCGTGGGCCAGTTGGTAGAGAGAGGATGGTGCGCTCAGAAAGTGGTGTGTGAAAGCATCAGCCCTGGGAGTCCACAGCGGGTCGCAGAGACCCAGTCCCTCCCTCTGTCTTCAGGCTTCTGTCAATTTTAGTAAGATTTCATTATCTTCAAGTAGGAATTATGTCACAAGTAATTGACCCTAACTCTGCAAACAGTGAAAAAAATTATGTCGCCAGGGCTTTGCTCCTCCAGCGGTGACACCTTTACAACTGGAGGCACTGGGAAGTGGTGGTGGGGAACCCGTTCTGAGTGTCTCTTCAATTCAAAGGCGCTCTCTTTCTAGAGGTGCTGCAGAGTTGTTAATGCTTGGAATGGCAATAGGGTAGAATTATTAATCAAAGGCATATCTTCATATCTGAAGACTATCCTTCCTTCAGGGTTTAATAGATTTAATAGACTGAGTCAGATGGGTCTGATATTAATCAAAATTGTCTCTTCTGAGGATGGCTGATAAGCATTGACTTGCTGTCCCCTGGGGACATCAGACAACTACAAAGCATTGCTTGAGTTTTCCCTTCAATTAGTGTTGCATTTTGTTTGGTGAATGTACATTTTTCCTGCCTATACATATTTCTTGCATTTATGTTTTATTTCTTGATTAACGGTATGTTAAAATGGAAAGGATTTTGAAAGGACGAGCCCTTTGTTTCCTGTGCTTTGTTTAATAAACAGTATATCCTTTGCTTGTGAATCCCACTTTCTCGATGCAAAGGGTTCTCGTAACTGGAAAGCAATTAATTAGCCTTCATTATAAATGTTCACTTGGGAGAGGTGTTAACTCATTATGGACTCAGATTAGTCCAAGGCCTGAAGATCACTCTTCGTAATGTCTGCAATCCTGAAATGCATCTTTAAAAGAATGAAAACACAAAAGAAAAAGCCATTGTGCCCAAGAATGTTGATGATCTGGCACTTTGGGATTTTTATTGATGTTTACACAGCAGTCTAACAGCAACCAGGCTTTGAAATGTATACAGACAGTGAGTGAGGAAGAAAACAGTAATTATGCGACTGGGCTTTTCAGTCAGCAAGAGCATGCCTACTCGGTGTGTTCATAATCATATTAATTATCTATCTGGTTGCTGCAGCGGCTGCTTGACATGTGCTGCACATCTCTCCAAGTAGCCAGGCAGTGTTGCAGTCCCCCTGCAGCTTCAGGTCCTGGTTTTTAATTCGTGCAAGGGCACCATGCTGGAGCTATTGGGAGCCAAAGAGCGATGGTAGCTGGTCTGTTTGGTCCCTTGCTGTCTGCTTTGGAGGCAGGGAGGGACCAGTCAGCCCTGGACAGGATGGCTCCCCTAGTTGAGAAGAGACAGAAGAGTCCTTCTGTGGACCAGTGATGGTTGGAACACCTCCCTCCTTACCCTTCCCTAGTCTCGGGATGGGAACTGGGTTGCCCTTGATTCTCTGGCTAGACCACAGTTTTTAATGGAAGCTCTTCTCTGTCTGACCTTATAAAGCATTGACTAGAAAATTACAGTCTTCAACACTTCTGGATTGACAAATTGTGGGTTGGAAATGGTAATCTAGCTTTCAGTCTGGTAACTGGCCTTTTATATCTACTACTCCCTGCGCTCCCTCCTCCCCTGTTATGCCTGTGGCTGCCCAGTGAGGACTGACCACAGCTACCCCAGGATGCATCCCGAGGATGCGAGGCCACTCCCACGCTTTCACGGTGGCAGTGTGACAGAACCAGCACGTCTACATGGATGTGATTAGAACTCCAGGGGGGTTGGGAGAGAGGAGGGACTCTCTTGAGGGAGGATGTTTAACAGATTTCCCTACTAAAAAATCACATCACCAGCAGAGCAGCCTCCGAAATTGGCTCCACTGTTATGCTTTTAAGAGATTTAGGTCCCAGAGGGTTGCCTAAGTAGATTCTGGCCCACAGCTTGTAGAATTCTCTTGGATATAGTTTACCTCGAAAGGCTGTTCATGTTCTATTTCTTATCTTTCACTTAGAGATCAATGTTTATTTTATGTACACCATGACATCAGCGTTAAGCAATTAGGGGAAAAAAATCTAATCATTTGCCTTATTTTAAATGGTTCTTGAATTCCCTCCCGTCTCATTGTGAAAGAGGCAGAAAAAAATAAAAAGGTAATAATCTGATTCCTGTCCATATTTTCAGTGTTTTATGCTTTCCATTAAAGGCTTGCTAATCTCTAGTGTGCTGTTTTGACTTTGTTGAACTACAGGGTCAAAAGCCTGTCCCCTCCCCCACTTTTCTTCCTGAGTGGTCTGTATTTGAAAAGTATAAATAATATTGACCGTGGTATTTAATACGCTAATGAAACCCATGGTTATTGACTACATAATTAATAAACTGTCTAAAAGTGAAGTTTGGCAGTTCAGCACATAAAGGTTTACATTGACTGGTGTTTCTTTGGTGATATGCCTGCCAGATTTTATTTATAGAAAGCAAAACAGGGAGTTCAGCCTCCTTTCCTCTTGTTAGACCACTGTTCCCCTAGTACGTTGATGGTTCCCCCTCTCAGGGAGGTTAGATTTGCCATGGTTTTATCCTCTTGTTACAAGGTTTAGTAGCTCTTTGTCTTACAGAGAAAATTACAACTTTTATAAACACCTTTTGAAAAAATGGTTTTCTCAGAATAGTATAGGATGCTAAAAACCTTAACCACTTTTTTTTATTACGAAGCTGATGTTAAGTATTGTTCCAGTTACCAAAGAAGAAAGGAGACTGTTGGGCCATTGGTTGGTTTTTTCCCCCTCTACCCAGTGCTGAGCTACATCTCTTTCTCCTTTCCTTCCTTTATTTATTGTGGTACTGGAGATACTACTCAGGACCTTTGCACTGAACTGCATCCCAGCCCTTTTTGAGACAGGGTCTTCCTTTGAGACAGGGTCACCCCATGTTGCCCAGGCTGACCTTGAACTCCCAGTACTTCTCCCTCTGCCCTTCTAAGTAGTTGAGGTTCTGGGTGTGGACCACTGCCCCCAGCATAGTGATTATTTCTTATGCAAGTAGTCCGAGTTCTTTGTAGAAAAATAACCTGCAGGTAAGAATGACCAGAGTCATCCATAATCTCACCAGTCAGCCGTAATCACTTGTTTACTGTCTGCCATGTATATATCTGTATAAGTGCAGTTTTAATGCAAAATGGAGGGGAGATTATATATATATATATCTGTGGGTAAAACATTCAGTGGTAAAACAGTTAAGTAACAGGCACAAGATCTTTAGTTTGATCCTCAGCACCACACACACACAAATGTCATGTATATACCATTCTGTAGCACTTTCTAGCACTATGTATTGGACATCTTTTCTATTTCAGTAACAGATCTGCATAATTTTAAATGGTATTTGGCTATATGGATGTGTAAATTTATGGGAGCCAATAACTTGCCAGATGCTTTTGCCTTTTTAAAACTTGTTATAGGCTCAGGTTCTGGTGGGCACAAGCACATCTACACTGCTGTGAAAATACGCCTCTACCTCTCGTTCTGCGAGGTTCTGTGATTGTTTTTCCATTTCCTTAGTTCAGTGATAACTCCTCTAACCCTCTGTACCATCAAGGGCTGGCAGGTAATTTGAGCAGACCCTTAGAAACAGATTAATGGAGGGAGGATGAGAAAGGGAGGCTTCAGAGCCATCCATGGTGTCCTCCCTACACTGTGCACGTGGTCATGGCCTCGAGGAGCCCTAGATGCTTGCTTTCTGCCAGTGTGGCAGAAATAGCCTCCCAGGAACACATTTGATTTGCGTTATAAGTCGACCTGATTATTTCTCTAAGCTATTAGTTGATAGTTCTTAAATCTTTGAACCGGGAGCTGGAGATTTAGCTCAGCGGCATAAGCGCCTGCCTTGCAAGCAGGCAGTCATGAGTTCGATCCCTGGTACCGATAAAAAGGAAAAAGACAAAAAAAAAAAAAAAAAATCTTTGAACCATGTCTTGTGCTAGCAGTTTTAAGTCGTTAAGTAAGTAGTCATTCTCATCCACCTGTTCTAGCCTCATTCTTAGCGACGGGGTTGTTGAGGATCAAATCCCGAGCCTTGTACATCCTCTGTCACATAGCTGTGTCCCCTCTAAGTGGTTAAAACACCTGTTCCCAAGAACCTTGTGTTTGGAGCAAGGCACGGCGCTGAGTAGTCCTGTCACAGATTAAAATTCAGTAGATGGAGAGCTCACCGAAGACTGCAGTCATTAAAGACTTCCCAAAAAAATTGGATGACATGGGGCTGGGGATTTAGCTCAGCGGCATAAGCACCTGCCTTCCAAGCAGGTGGTTGTGAGTTCGATCCCGGTACCGAAAAAAAATAAAAAATAAAAAATTGGGTGACTTGGGACACAAATTGTAACCTTCACTTAGGTCGCGGGGTGTGTGTGGGAGCACACATGCTGCAACTGACTGTGATCACTCTGCATTTATCACAAGAAGCTATGTGGACGCCATGCAAGGGGAGTAGAAGGCTCCAAAGGAAGTCGAGTTCCCCGTGTGAATAGGGAACCCTTGACCTTTTGTTATTTATTAATTTACTTCTTTACAGTTCTAGAGATTGAATTCAAATCCTCTGCACTAAGCTATATCCCCAGCTCTTTTAGTTTTTGAGGCAGGGTACAACAATTTTGCCAAGTTGCCCAGGCTGGGCCTGAATTTGTGATCTTACCCTGGCCTCCCAGAGTTCTGTGGCCTGCAGCACCACACCCAGCTTGCTTTTTGCATTTTGAGACAAGATCTTGCTATGTTTCCCAGACTGGCCTCAAACTGGTGATAGTCCTGGCTCAGCCTCAGTGGGTGGAGTCACAGGTGCCCACCACCACATTTAGCTCAGACCCTGCTTTGTACTGGGGTTGTTGTGGGGCTTGAAGCTTGCCGGGCAATGCATGGGCAATACATGAAACTCTGACCCGAACGCCCAGCCATCTCGGCCTTTCATCATTGCCAGGCTCTTCCCTGCATCCCTTCTAAGCTGTTGCTAAAGCTCAGAATGTATAATTTTCAGGAAAAGAGTAGCCACTTTACTGGCCTGAAATAGACCATGTGAAAAAAAATTCCACCTGCTTCATTAGAAATACTTATATCCCACTCAAAAGTGATCATATAAACTTTTCATAATGGTAAGCCATTCTTACAAAATTGTACCTGCTCCCTAGTGTATAACCCAGTTGGTAATTGGAAGTTTATGCTGTCATTAAAAATGACAGCTTCCTCAGATGCTGTGCTTGGAGCTTGTAAAATGCAGATAACCCAGCCTATATTTAACTGGTGTGTGGGGCAGCTTCCTTTCAACGGTTAGGTAACCGAGGGGCTGGCGCCGCAAAGGCAGAAGCACTCGCTGCAGGGAGCAGAGCTTTGTGCTCATGAATACCCTGCCCTGAGATGGAGCCAGAACAACAGGGACTTTTTAAAAATAAGCCCCAATTGGACTCCTCTCCTCTCACCGTTGACACTGCTGTTCATGTTGAGGTTTATTTATATCTTCAGTGAGCCGTGGTACAGAGGTCATTTCTATTGGCCTAAAATTTTAGAGGCTTATAGGTTTGCCTAGGAAACCTGATCTCTTCAGCGCTTGGGCTTGTAATGCCAGCCTTGTCTTCTGCTGAAGCATTTGTTTCTGCTTCCTTACTCCCACCACCAGCATCATCTCTGCTATGTATTTTAAATCCCAAATCGCTTTTTAAGGTGCATCCCGGTGAAAGAGCTCTCTTCTTCTAATGGGCTCT